ATTATTTAATTTGTCTAAATGTTCAAGATCATTTTCTTCCTAGAGTACAGTTATGTAGAAAGTAGAGAATTTTATTCTCTACTGTATTCATCGGTCTTAGCAAAATGTCCAGTTTTGAGCAAGCACTCAGTAAATGATTGTAGAATTAATGAATTTCTTCCATGTACTGATAATTCATTCTGTATAAATACTACATTCCATCACACTATTGTAGTATTCTCTAAATTGATCTCCAGTCTCCTTCAATTGATCTTATACAGTAATGCAAGGTCAATCTTTATAAGATAGTGTAGTTTTTTTTATCATGAAAGTCCCTTACTCAACAATATATGTTCTTCATTTCTTAATCCACCACAAATTAGGCAATTTCTTTGTAGTTTCTAAGCAATTTTTCTCATTATGTCTCTCAACAATTGTACTAGATTTCCTCAAATGTCACCACACAGGAACACTAACAACTCTTTGAAGCTATTAGTCCTCACCTGTAGTGTTAGAGCTCCTCACTCTCACTGCTATTCATCCATGTACTGTGTGAATGGACTGCCAAATGTGGTAGGCCACTGTGCCAAGAGCTCTTCCTGATTCCAGGTGCTAACAACATGACCTTGCTCTTAACTTGGCCTCTCTGAACCTGTGTCTTCTCATCTGTAAAGTAGAATAGTGTTGGGTACTTCATAGAAATATTGTGGGGACTTCATGTAGTAATGCACATTAGGCACCTTTTTAGCCTGTCCCTAGTGCATAATGAGTGTTCAGAAAGTGCTAGTTATTATTCAAGGCCCAACTCCAGTCTTTATACATCCAGAAATCTTCCAGCCTTTTCTCAGATCTTGCCAACTGAGATTTCAGAGACTTTTATGGTGAACTAAAGGTGGTTCCTGTGGAGTATTGGAAAAATCCTCCCAGGACTGATTTTTGCCTTTACACTGGTCTCAAGTGAGAAGCAGCACCCCGAGTTTAGTGAGAAAAATCATACAGAAGACAAAAGATTTAGGAGTTGACCCTTGCTGGCCTCCCGACTTTTTGATTATAGTCCAAACAAATCACTTTATCCTTTCAAGCATCAAGTATCTACAAAATGAGTGCATTAAATTATATAGGTTTTTTCCAGCCTTGCTAAGCACTCAGTATTTAAATGTGATGATCAGAAGATGACATAAAAATGCAGCATGTCACAGTGTTTTCTCTGGGTCTGTTTCTTAGCCACCTGATTAACCCTTAAGAGTAGAGCACAGCTCCATGTGTTTAGGAAAGAAATAACACTATCAACTCTGAAGTGTTTGGTGATAGAGGTCCAGGCTACACTTTATATGTTTTTTAAGAAATAAGGTTTATTGTTTCCTTCCTAATGGAGCTACATTTAAACCATGTGGATGGACTTTAAAGATATATTACAGAACTTTGGTTTTCTTGGCAAAGTTGTACATGTTCCCTTGAGGATAAGCTTTGAAAGCCAGGAGGTCATTGTGCTATTGCAGAGGACTCTAATCATTATTATGCTGTCTTTGTCTCTAGGATCCAAACCAAGCTGATGAAGAAGCAATGACACAGATAATTCGAGTCTCCTAACCCCAGGCCATATGATGGAGCTGATCCAGGTCATATTCCTTGCCGATGTTTTCCACTGTTCCAGGAAATTGATCTACTCTTCCAATGGGACACTGACGATCACTTCTGCCCTTTTCTACAGGACAGAAACCACTTAGTTTTTAATAAGTGGCTCAGTATTATAATTGCAGCAATGTCTGGCAAATTGAAGTTGCAAGCCTTTGTCTCACCCTTTCAGTCAGGACCTATTTTAGACTGTTTAACATTTGACATTTCATGGATTAGGATGATACAAGGAGACACTTGCCAGCCCAGCAGTATACAAGCACTTATGTTGACTGGTGAAGCCAGCCAGCCATCTCAGCAGGGAAGAACATCCTTCTCAACCTGAACTGCAGTCAGGGAAGCCGCAGCTCATTCCTTCCCATGGAATCTAGATAGCATCCATCCCTCTGGTGGGGGATCTCAGGCTGACCAACTGAATAGACACTTTGTATTCAGATGGCCTCTGAGCAAGAAAGTTCCATACTGTGATATGGAAACAATAAATTCTCTGAGATACAGCCATCTAATCTGTGGTAATAATAAGAATCTCTGTGGGTTCATATTTTTGGACTCTAGGGATAAAGTGATAAAATTTTGAAGAAGCTAAAATATACATTGCTGAATCTCTCTTTTTAGCTTTGACAAGTTGTGGTCTGCTTGTCTCTGTTAACAGGTCATCAGGACCATAGGTCTTGCTGTGGCTACTTTTCAGACAATATAGAGGGTCCTGGAACTGGAAACTGCCTTTCCTAAGTAGAAAACAAAACTTTTCAAAAACTTCTTTGCTGATGCACTGAAAACATCTGTAGTAATTCCTAAACAGAGAGGCAAATTACAGATTTTCAAGTGTAGTCTTTTTGATGACATTTGGGGAATAGAAGAGTGTTTCAGTCTAGGAAGAAAGAGAAAGAGTAGTCTACCTATCAGGTGTTGTCATAGAGCTTGATTCTCCTCCAGTGGATGAGTACCTGGAATGGATCATTAAGATGAAGAGACTAATTCACATTTATTCTAAAACCTTTTTACAAGTACTGCCAGGGAGAATTTTGAGATTGAGTCCTTGACAAAGGGCCAGGAAAGCACTATTCAAACACACTGTCCTGGACATAGTCCAGGTTACCTGCTATAGCTTGATGTGGATGTTGGCCTCATTCCAGCAGCATTTTGTGCTGGCTCCAGAGAGCAGACATTCTTATTCTTCCCATGGCAGCTGATTCTTTGGTGCCATTTGCATTTGTTTTCCCCTTTCTCCATAGGCCTTGTGCAGAAAGGTTTTCACACTGCACCCATACTATAGGAATAAACTACAGTCTGGAAAAAAGTAGAGATGCCTGCAGGGTCAGGAACTGAGCCACAGTTGCCAGAATGAGTTGGACCTCAGAAATCTATTTTCCAGGTGTTGAACTCTGGGAGACAGAACCAAGATGATATTTCAGAAGAGTTGGCTGCCTTCTCTGGAAACAAAGAAGGAAAATCCAATAATTCTGAAGACCATTTGGGGTTGGCTTAAATACCAAGAGTAAAGATTGCATCCTTGATATCACTCTAAATGCATTAGGACAGAAAAGAAACCCTTTGAAGAGAAAATCAGAGGGGGAGGCCATAGTAAAGGTAGAAATAGAGGTATAGAGCTATGCAAAGGAAACTGGAAGTGAAATATCTTCCTAGATCCGGGAATCTAGTAGTTTTTCCTGCTTTCCAGGTGTCAGAGGGCTGACTGGTAAGCTCACTCGAAATTTCTGGCTCTTTTATGTTTCAGAAATTAGACCACCCCAGTTTTTTCAGATAACATTAAAGATGATGAGGAATTTATCTTGGGGTTAGTTTAGGAGTCTAAGATGGAGAGTTTAGAGAGAGATTCCTCAGACCTAATTTCTAGTGCTGAAGCCAATGGTGGTTCTAAAATACTATTTATTTGTGTCTATAAGTTTGTACATAGTAATACCAACCTCATTGTTACTGAATTTTTCATGGAGGGGGGCAAGTTTGACTTTTGTTTGAAATGAAATGCATCAGTTGTCATTTTGTCACTGCATTTCAGATAGCTCATGACCCTTTTATAATGGTTATTTTTTGCACACCGTAATAGCCCACAAAGTGGGAACAGGGGAGTTGACCTTTGGATTTTTTTTCCTTTATTACTAATTATTCTACTCATTTGTCCTTGTGACTGCAGTGATGACTTCAATGATGCAGAGCGAACAGATGAATGAATAATTGGTTTGATGCATAGTTGTGTCACTTCTTGAGAGCTTTTTTCTTTTTTTGCAGGATAATTGTAAATGTATATATTTTAATTGCACTGGTACATTGAACGTGTCAGTGTCTATGCCACTGGACCAACAGCATTTTCTAGCTACAGGGTGCCTAATAATGTCTTGATTTTCCTTTGGGGCTCACTATATAGGTTTTCTCCCAGCTGTAGGGGGAGTACAGGCTATCAATCATTGATGTCATTGCAATTGTTATTTTTTAAAATAAATTTATTAAAATACTAAAAAATGATCTGACTTTTGAGGAGTTTGCATCCCTGGATTGTAGGTTGTGTTTATAATGTTAAAATTGTGAACTTTGTAGATAGACATTTGATCTCTGTTATCACAATCTAGTAGTGTCCAGGCTTCCTAGTTTTCTCTCCCTTTTGGCTTTCCCACCCTGCTGAGGAATGTCACCTGTGGGTTAAACATAAATTTGGTCTTAACTACCTAACTACCGGAAATACTCATCAAAATGTGAGGTTATACCAGGAGCATAATTAGCCCTTTCATCACCAAAACAGCCTTCATTTATTAGGTATTTTAAGTATTTAGACCTAAAGGGTGCAAAGAGGCACTTTTTATATTTTCAGAGAGCTAAAACAAAACAAATTCTGATTGTTGAAAATCCGCAGCATGCTCATCCTATTGCTGCTTTATGGTCTAGCAATTTGAGCAACAAAGACTAGCAGCTTCCAATGTGCCATTATCACAAGAAGTCTTGGAACCAAGAGCTACAGAAAAACAGACTTTGGGAGCTTTCTTGGGATGAGGCCATAGGCCCGTCCTGGCAGATAACAGATAATGTTAAAATTGTGACCTTTAAAGATAGACATTTGCTCTCATCACGATTTAGCAGTTTTCAGGCTTTGTAGTTTTTACCTCCTCTCAATATTCCTATAATAAAGGAAAATGTCAGTGTTGAATAGTTTAAAGTAATTTGAGCGTGTGTCCTTACTAAATTCAGAGTGACCCAAATTTCTACTCTGGTGATATTTATCCCAGATTATGGGTTTTATCCCAGGAGCGTCTTTCGCGTTTCAAGGAGTCTAAAACCTGCAGTCCTCAGAAACCACCTACCCTAGACCCTGGTGGAAGTTGGGAGCCTATGCGGCGGAAAGCAGGTGGGGCGGAGTCCCAAGGAAGCCTGCGCGGATTGGTTGGGGGGCGGGCCCCGCCAGGGCTACCGAAGCGGATTGGCAGCTGCTTGGAGGGAACCGGTTCACGGTAACCGGCAGCCCCGCCGCCGCCATGGCGACGGGCGAGCGGGAGGCGGCGCCGCCTCTGTGGCCTGTGGAGGCCCGGTTGGCGGCGCTGCTTCCCGACCTGCTGGTCTTCAGGAAGCCCCGGGGATCGGAACCCGAGCTCGCCACGGCCCAGGGCGTCCTCCTAGGAGTCCACGTGATGGGTGAGGGCGAGGAGCGGCGGCCGTTGGCCTGATCCCCGGGAGGCGGCCGCAGTTACGGCCCTGGTGCCCCGGCGACCTAAGGCGCGGTTTAACTGCGCGCAGGAACCTTTGAGGACCTTTGTTTTCCAAGAGGGAAGACACCCTTTGGGATGAGCTGGTTTAGCCCCGGTTCGGAGATGACTAAATTGATACGCGGGGGAAAGGATTTCTTCAGGCCACAGGAGGCTTTGAACCCAAGTTTCCCTCAAAACCCCGAGTATTTTCCAATAAGCATTCCATTTTATCCCATCAGTTAACTCAATCTAAGTATGCGCCCACGTGTTCTACTTGCTAGCAACCTAGCAGTCACTTCGAGAGTCATTCATTTAATAAATATGGAGTATATGTGTCATGGATTTGAAGATGAGTACCATGAGGTGCCTGCCCTTACCATATGAGTTCTCTATCAAGTTTTAATCCTTTTCCCTTGTCAAGTGTTTTCTTGCCATCACATGGGGCAAAATTGCACACTCTCCTCTGGCCTGAGAGGGAGGGTGGGAAGAAAGAGGCAGCTGGCTTCAGATGAAAAGAGTACTTGTAGGTAAATCATCTTCATTTACAACAGCAACCAGCCTAGGCCTGGGTACTTTCCAATACCCAATACTATGCTAATGGATCAAGGAATTATTCCACTTGAAAGGATCTGATTACCTTAGGCAATACATGGAAGGAAGAGGGCTTAAAAGTTTAAATTTGACAGCTAATATAATAACTTTTGCTTTGTTGGTCAGGGTTTACAGCATTAATGGACAGGTTCAGCCTGGCGTGCAAGTCAGAACATGACATGGACAAACTGGCCCACATCTTCAGTTATTACATTAGTGACATCGTGGAGCGTGAGTGATCCTTGTAGGTCTGGTCTCCTGAGGGTTTATAAGAAGGAACCTGGGGTACTTTAAAATAGGTACTAAATGGTCATTCCTTAGGCATCACTTATCTTTGTTTTTATCAGATTACTAATGATAAATTAATTCTTTGCCTCTATCTGCCATTCTATCCAGTCTCCAATCCCATTGATTGATTGCCCAGTAAAAGGAGAGGGAGGGAGGGACCTAATATTGATTTTTACTTTGTACATTGAATTTTATTTAGAAATAAAATTCATGATATGTCTTCTAATAATGTGACCCATTTATAATATATATATATATATATATATATATATATATATATATATATATATATATATATATATTAGAAAACACCTTTCTACTCTGTTATGGCATTTTGATCTTGAGAAATGAATGTGTTCTCACTGTTTTCTTAGATGTGTTAAGCTTTTGGATATCTATCTACTCTTAAAAAATTCCTTATTTGTACAGCAAACATTTTAAGTACCTACTCTATGACAAGCACTGTAATTGGTTTTTGGGTGGCAGAACCCCATTCAAACTTGCCCAACAGAAATAACTCTGGCCCTGTACTGTTTACTACTTAAATAATATTCTCACTATTTACAGATAGTGCCCCCATACAGTTATATCCATATTCTGAGATTCACCAGAATCATTACTATGTGACACCTCCTTTAGGAACTTTATTATTTCACTCACCCCTCACCTATGAGGAATGAGTATAGAAAGTCTTTCTCTCATCAGGTTTGAATAAAGAGGAAGATTAAAAATTATGTAGCATTCATGTATTATAATATCAGGAACAGCTGGGTGCTAGAAATACAGGGGAAAGTAAGACATACTACCTGCCCTTGTGAAGTTCCCATGTTAGTAAGAGAGACTGATAATAAGGAAACCCAGTGATTATAGATTATACATCCTATTAAGGAAATAAATCAAGTGAAGTAAAATAAAATGGTAGGGAGTTTCTCTAAGAGATCAAGTGATCATAGGCTCCTTTGAGGAGGTGACATTTAAGCTGAGACAGGAATGATGAGGGGAACACTGTGAAGAGCTACCAGTAAAGCATTTCAAGTAGAAGAATGCCAAGGACAAAGAAGAAAGCATGGCATGTCCTAGGAACTGACAAAAGGCTGGTGGGACCAGAGTATAGCTAGCAGAGTAAAGAGTGGCTTAAGGTAAGGTGGTAGGAAGGCAGCTATGAGATTATCAAGCTCTGGAATTCATAATAAGAATTGGACAATTGTGGTTATTTTTATACAAAAGGGAACTGTTGAAAGGTGCTACAAGAGTAGTAATATGATCTGATTTACATTTTCAAAGCTCATTTTTGCTGCCTCGTGGAGATTGGATTAAAGGGAGATAGTGGAGAGAGAATGGTAAGAATGGAAGCTTAAAGAGGCAATTAGAATAGTCATGGAGAAGCTGGTTGTAGTGGCACATGTCTGTAATCCCAGCTTCTTGGAAGGCTGAGGCAGGAGGATCACAGGTTTAAGGCTACCCGGTCTAGGGTAGTGTTTTTCAACCTCAGCTACACATTAGAAAACCTGGGGAACTTTTAAAAAAATCTTGATGGCCAGGGATGTAGTTCAATAGTAGAATGCTTACCCAGCATGCACGGAGGCCCTGGATTCCATTGCCAACTCCAGGAGAAAGTTGGGGAAGTCCTGATGGCTTCACTCTAGACCATTTAAATCAGAATCTCTGGGGTGGAGATATCCAGGAATAAGGGTATTTTAAGTTTCACAAGCAGCCCCAACGTATAGTCAGGATTTAAAATTGTTGATTTAGAGATGGCAACATAGCTGTATGGGGATAGATTAACTTGAAATGTATTTTGCAAGTTCAACATATAGGAGTTGCTGATAGATTGGATTTCAGCAGGAAGTGGTGAAAAAAAAAGGGACCTTTGGTTTTTTGGTTTCCATGACTGAATTGCTATGATAGTGTCACTGAAATGAGAAAAACTGACCTCTTAAGAAAATATTAAGAAACTCTTTAAGAAAAATATCCTTAGAAAAGGGTTCTGTTTTTAGTATGTTGAATTTGAGATGCCAGCAAGTCATTGAAGTGGAGAAATCATGTTAGCTATAATTGAACCTGGAGCTCAGAGGCTAGATCTCCTTTAGAGATCTACTAATGGCATAGAGATGGTACATAAAAATTGTTTGAGTTCATGTGGAAAGAGTAGATAACAGAAAGAGCCTTAGGGAAAGAGAAGAGAAAGACTGAGACTTGAGGAACACCAAGGGAGGATTATAATTAGGGAGAAAGAACCTACAAGATAGTCTATAAAGCAGCAAGTGAGGTAGGATATTACAGTGTTCCTGAGGCTGAAGGGAAAATGGTATGCCTTAGAAGAAGGCTGTGACTAGCTGTTGAAAATGTATGTCATCAAGTACTGTGAACTTGGAAAAATGCTGAATTAGTTATATGAGTGTTGTTGATGACCTGATCATTTAGGTGAGGTGGTAGAGATGCATATCATTTTGGCAAAAGCTGAGAAGAGAATGGTAGAGATATTTAAAAGAAAGAGTGAATGGAAAATGAGACAAGTATATACAGTCAATTTTCTCTTTATCTCTCTCTCTCTCTCTCTCTCTCACACACACACACACACACACACAGAGAGAGAGAGAGAGAGAGAGAGAGAGAGAGAGAGAAATCAGAAAACAGCCAATAGCAAAAGAATGAGATAGACTCAAAAGAGGTAGATTATTTTTGTTTGGTTTTGTTTGATTTTTTTTTTTAAGATATGGATAGGAATGATCCTTAGAGAGAGATAAGAGTAAAGTCCTTGAGAAGGTGAGAGGTGATAAGATCCCTAGCACACTATTTGTGGCTTTGAAGGGAATAGGAGTACTTTTTAGAGACGATATTCAGAAGTACAGATCAGCCTGGCATGGTGGCGCATGCCTGTAATCCCAGCAGCTCGGGATGCAGAGGCAGGAGCATCCTGAGTTCAAAGCCAGCCTCAGCAATTTATCAGGTGCTAAGCAACTCAGTGAGACCCTGTCTCTAATAAAACACAAAAAAGGGCTGGGGATGTAGCTCAGTGGTGGAGTGCCCGTGAGTTCAATCCCTGATACCAAAATAAATAAATTAATTAAAAATTAAAAAAAAAAGAAGTAGATCTGAGGAAAAGGTACAGTCCTGAGGCTGGGAATGAATAAGTAGATGAGAAAGCAGGAAAAAATAAATAAAAACAGTAGGCCTTTTAAAAAAATGTACTGTAATTCTGCCATGATCTGATATCCCTCTAATCTTGACTTATTTTCTCCCTTGCTTGATTTCAGATGTGCTCTGTTTTGGAGGGGATATCCTTAATATCACAGGTACTTTTTATGAATATTTAAAGGACTGTGAGTGAGGAAAACTGTGTTTAAGTGGAGTTTGGCATATTTGCTTATTCTGCATTCATTGATTATTTAATAGGTACTGAGCACTAGGGAAGTATCTCTGCCTCAAAGGATCTCCCAGTTTAAAAAAAGCTTTGCCCGTATTTGCTTTACATTCAGTTTAAATTAAATGATAGGAAAATATGTGCCTATAAAGTGTTTTTGAGAAAAATGATGAGAAATTTGGTCATTAATACCAGAAGCTAAATGTGAAATAGGGAAGACTTAAGAGTCTCCTATCAGGAGAACTCTTAGGATCATTAACAGCTGTATGGTCCAGAGTTAGCCTGTCACCTTATTTAAACTTAATAAACCAGCCTTAAAATTAGATTTTTAACTTGAACCTACGTGTTATGAACCAATTTGCTAGAACCCATACCCTTGTTAATATACTGGTGGAGAAAAAATAACAAAAAATATCCTTAGAACATTTTCAGTTTTTACCTAGTTGGGTTTTTGTATACTGAATGATTTTGAAGATCAAAGGCAATATTTTAACCTTGCATAATATATAGTGCTGAGAAACCTTGCCTGGCACATTGCATGATATCCACATTAGATCAAGTTGGTATTCTGCATAATAGGAGGCTTTGCTATAGGACAAGTCTAGATATTTGACTCCTGTGTCTATAGGGAATGTACTCCTGGCACTCTGGACAGTGGAGAAAAATCAACTGAGTGACATCATAACCCTGGTGGCAAAATGCAGTCTAGAGATACAGGAGAAATTTGGGATCTACCACACCAGAGAAGGCCAAGATCTGCGTCTAAAGATAGGTAGTAATTCCTAAAAGAGAGCTCCAATTGGAAAAAGAAAGAAAAATCTTTTCAAAAAGTTTCAAAAGATAATTCACAAACTGAGAAAAAAATATTTGCAACTCATATAGACAAAGGGTAAATTTCTCTAATATTGAAAAAGCACCTAGAAATTAAAACTAACATGAGAGAAAAATGGACAAGGACATGAATAAATGCTGCATAGACAAACATGTATTTAAATCTGCATAAAAGATGGTCATCTTCATTCATGATTAGAAAAATGCCAGTTGAAAATACGTTGAGATACTTTTTCTTACCTGTAGATAGGCAAAAATTCGGATGCTAGAAAACACCAGTTGTTGGTAAGATATAAGGAATGACTATTATACTGATGAAATGAAAAATGGTCAGTATCTATGGAGGGTGATTTGCTAATCTTCATCAAGAGTAAAGGTGCATTCTTTAACCCAGCAATTCCACTTCTGAACATTCATCTTAGAGGCATTCCAGCATATGTGAAGTGTTATATATACAAGGTTATTAATTGCAATATGGTTTGTGATAAACAATGGAAAACAGTCTAAAGGGACTGATTAAATAAGTAATATGTCTACAGTGAGATTTTCTGCAACTTTTTAAAAAACACATTCATTACAAAAATTTTCTTGTGTCCCTCTGTACAAGGTTTCTCCCACCATTCCCTTTCCACATTCCTAAGCAATCACTGATCTTCTTTCTGTTGCTAGATATTATTTTGCTTCTTAAAAAGAATGTTGGGCTGGGGATGTGGCTCAAGTAGTAATGTGCTCGCCTGGCATGTACGGGGCGCTGGGTTCAATCCTCAGCACCACATAAAAATTAAAAAAAAATAAAGATGTCGTGCCCACCGAAAACTAAAAAATAAATATTAAAAAATTCTCTCTCTCTCTTTCTTTAAAAAATAAAATAAAATAAAAAAATAAAAATGTTATAGACCTGTGCATGTAGTTTAGCACATGTGAGACCATGGTTCAATTCCCAACACTGGAAAAAAAATGTTATATAACATATATACTTTTTGGCTATTTTCATTCAGCATAATTACTTTGAGTTTCATCAATTGTATAGCATGTATCACTAGTTAATTTCTTTTTTGCTGCTGGGTAGTATTAGGAATTAACTAGTGATACATGTGTGGCTATAATATACTACAGTTTGTATATCTGCTAATTTATGGATGGACACTTAAGCTATTGTCAGTTTTTGGCTGCTACAAATAAAGCTATTATGGACATCTATGAACAATTATTTGTATAGGTATATCCTTTTATTTTTCTTGGGTAAATAAGAGTGGAAGAGGTTGGTTATATGGTACGTTTTATTTTCTAAGAAATTGTCAGTCTATTTTCCAAAGTGATTATTTCATTTTATATTTCCACCAGCAATGTATGAAGGCTCCAGGTTTTCTGTGTCTTTGTTAACACTCATTATTGTCTATTTGAAGAACTTCCTTTAGCATTTCTCATAGTGCAGATTTGCTGAACATATAGTAGTTCAACTTTTGCATGCCTAAAAAAATCTTTATTTCATATTTAATTTTGAAAGGTATTTTCACCGAACATAGACATTCAGATTGATGAAGTTTTCTCTCATTGAAACTTTTGTTCCACTGTTTTCTTCCTTACAGAGTTTGCAACAAAAAAGGCTGCTTTAATCTTTTATTTTACTTCTTTGTACATAATTTGTCTTCTCACCACCACCCCTATGACTGTTTTCAAGATTTTCCTCTTTATCACTGGTTTTAAGTAATCTGATTATGATGTACCTTGGTATAGTTTTCTTTATTTTTCTTGCATTTGGAGCTCATGAGCTTCTTGATTCTATAGGTGTGTGTGTTTGTTTTCAAACTTGAAAAATATTCCCTCATTATTTCTTCAAAGAATTGTATCTGTTCCCTTACTCCTCTCTCCATTTACACACATATTAGGCTGCTTGTAATAATCTCACAGTTCAGTTCTTTTATTTTTCCCCCACTCTTTTTTCTCCCTGTGTTTATTTTGGATCATTTCTATTACTAGGTCTTCATAGTAATACCTTTCCCTTTGCAGTATCTGATTTGCCTTTTATCCTATCTAGTATATTTTTCATGTTAGACACTATAGTTTTCATACTTATATATTTGGTTTGAGAGATATGTATACCACGTCTCTAGTTGTTCAATCTTTTCTCTAGGTTTTTGAGTATATGGAATCTAATTATCATAAAACTTTTAGTGTCCTTTTCTACTAGTTCTATTATGGGCTCAATTGGTTGATTTTTCTTCTTATTATAAGTCAGATATTCTTCTTTTGCCTGCACAATAGTTTTTGAGATGGGCGCCAGACATGAATTTACTTTGTTTGGTGCTGGATTTTTTAATATTTCTGAAAGTATTCCTGAGCTTAGTTCTGGAATATGGTCAATTTAATTCTTTCAGGATTTGCTTGTCAACTTTGTCAGGTGAGACCAGAGAATGTTTTGTCTAAGGCTAGTTTTACCCCATTCCTGAGGCAGACGTCTTCTTAATACCATCCCTGATGTCCTGTAAATTAAATTTGACATGTGGCTAGTAATAATAAGTACTATTCCCATCATTGTGTAATAACAAAGATTATTTTTCTAATCTTTTTATGTAGTTTTTTTTCTCAGCATCAGACATTTTTCTCATATTCATGTACATATCAGTATTCAGCTAAAGACTTGGAAGGGACCTAGTGCAGATATGTAGGATTCTTCCTCTGTACATGACTTACTGCTCCAATACTCCTGTCAGTGCTCTGTGAACTCTAGCTATCTAGGCTTTCTCATGTTCCCAGCTCTGACTTCTCAACTTGGAGTCTTCTTCACTGTACCTAGGTTTCTCTCCTTCCTGAGATGTGTTTTGGAAACTCTCCAAAAGTAAACTAGAATAACAGCTTATTTCCTGTCTCTCGGGGTTCACTGTTCTTTATTACCTGATGTCCAGTATTTTGAAAACCATTGTTTCATATATTTTTTCCAGTCCTTTAGTTATTTCAAGTATTAGGAAATATTCTGTCTTGGCTGAACATATAAATCTTTGCCATTCTTTTAAAACTTTTTCCTGTTTTTATTTGTTTGTTTGGGGCAGTGTCTAACTAAGTTGCTGAGGCTGGCCTCAAACTTGCAATCCTTCCTCAGCTTCCTGAGCTGCTGTGATTATACGCATGTGCCATTGTACTTGACTTTTCCTTTTTTTTTTTTTTTTTGCTTTGAGCTCAGATTAAGTGACTTAGCTAGGGGTAGACTTCTATTGGTTTTATTATATATATATATATATATATATATATAATTTTTTTTTTGATAAGCAAACCAGTATTTCTGCTGTATTAGCAGTAAGAAATCCCTCAGGGTCAGAAAAATGGAAGTAGAACAAAAGGACCCATGTCTGATACAATACTGATTGCCTAGTTACTCAGTCCTGGTAACACTGAGGAGGGATAGTAGCAGTTTCTTAGTATAACCATATGGTCTCCTCCTTCAGTACTCTGCTATCAGACCTAGCTATACATTAGAATAGTAATTTTGAGAACAATTTAGAGAGATAAGATTTCTTACTTCTTCCCCCCATGCAACCCAGGGGTATTTGAATTTCAACCTCTAGGTCTATTTAAGTGAAAAGGAAATCTGGGACAAGGTGTTATTTTTAAAGGTGAGCTCACCTAAGACTTTGCAACTAAGAGTATTGACAAGATTGGCATGATACATAAAGCCCTGTGGGATTCTAGACCCCTCCCTTTGTATAGTTTTCCAGTTGAGTTTGGCTATTCTCTGCTTCTCTCTCTCTTTCTTTTTCTTTCTGGATAGGTCTGTCTGCAGGTCGGATATCCCAAGTTATTGTTGGAGATGAGCAACGGCAATACCTCTTGGTGATTGGGCGTGATGTAGATGGTGTCCAGTTAGCTCAGCGTTTGGCTCAGGCAAATGAGATTGTCCTGTCCTGGAACTGCTGGAAGCTCTGTGAGCAGTACATGTTTGAAGTGGAAATCATGAGGGAGGATGAAGCTGTGAAGGTAGGAAGCTGGTTCTGTCCATAGCACATCCTGAAAAACTTCCCACTACATAGGGCAGTGCTCTGGTGGTGTTCACATATTATGTGAACAAACCAGTAACCACTGGAACGCAAATTTGGAGGGAGGCCAGGGATATTCTCCCAGAAAAGAGATAAGGCAGAATAGTAAGGCTGGGGAGATACAAGATAAATAAGGGAGATAGAGTCCTCAGCCCCTCTGTTAAGGGATCAGTGGTAATCAAGTTAGTGTATGAACACAGAATTGAGCAGTTTTCCTTTCTCTAGTTAAGAGATATGCGGATCATTAACCCATTTGATTTTGATGAGCATTTTGACAAGTGCCTTGATTATCTGCCACATTACCGTACAAGTGCTGGTAAGTTACGTGTCCTTTCTACCTAACTCTGAAATTTTAAAGATTAATTTTCCATATGGCTAGAGACATTTTGTTTTTCTTTTGTTAGATACACTAAGAACTGCCCTGGAATTGGATCCAGACTCTGCACTTGAGCGAACACTGCGGAAATACATAATGAAAAACCTTTTGAAGAAGGTTATTTCCTACTTCTTGAATCATTACACAAACTGTGTGTGTTTGTGTAAATAAGTGTACATTAAATGAGATAATGTTTAATATTGATCTAGTTCATCTCCTGTGCCCCACTCTAATCTCAGCAGATGTTACCATCTGCACTAATATAATTACTGTATGAATGTGTCTTTTAGTTGGCTTTCTCAGTTCTAGAAAGTAAAAGCCACATTTGTTCTTGTTTGTCCTTGAAGCATTTATTACACTGTAAGCAGGGTTTAGAAAACATGATTGGTAAATATGTGTTGTTTGATTGTGTATGTATGAATATGAACATTTGATAAATACAATGATTAGCACAGTTAGGCATATCAAACTAACTCTTAGAAAATATAAAATCCTGGCAGTTTCATCAGGGAATTAGGTTTAAAGTCAAATAATTTAATTCTAAGCACACTGGTTTATACTTTTTCTGTACCTCTCAAACCTGAAGTTTTAGATCTCACCTGGCACCCATAAGTTATTTGCTTATATTTAGCGTGTAATGGATAATTACAATGCCTGAACATGATACTGAGAGTTGAAGACATAGGCAAAGTAACTCTTTGTGTCTTGTAGATTGATGAAGGCCAACCTATGGAGTATGTATCTGAATTCCGTACAGTGACTATGGTTTTGGTGAATCTTGAGTTCCATAAGACAGCGTGGATGTTGCATTTGTGTCATCTTATCCAGGAGGCTGCCTTATATATCTCTACAGTCATTGAGAAAGGTGGTGGCCAGTTAAGCCGGATCTTTATGTTTGAGAAAGTAAGTATTAAAGGTGAGTGAGAAATAATACATCTTGTACGATTTGTTTATCACCCATGTAACACAAGTGTAAATCAGATTTCCTGCTGCTTATTTTGTAGGCCTCTATATAACATTAAAACTTCAAGTAATGTAAGTTAAGAAATGCCATGTTATCGTTAGTTTAATTTTCAGGGTTACTGAAGATTTTATTCAGTTCTTGTTGAAAAAGCCTTGGGAAAGCATTAGGAGTGTTTTACTGGATCTAATAACAAAGTAAATAATCATATTTTTCTCAACCAATTGAGCTTGAAAAAGAGCAACATATTAATACTTGACATTATAGGCAAAGAAAATGTGGGCAGATAGACTTAACACTAGCAATTGCATGTTTTTTTATTTGTTTTTTTGTTTGTTTTGAGACAGGATCTTGCTGTGTTGTCCAGCCTGGCCTCAAACTTGGGTTCCTTTCAATCCTTTCAAGTAACTAGTACCCTAAACATACACTACTGTACCTGGCTTGAATGGTTCTTTTTTTTTAGGGGGGGGGGGAATTACTGGGGATTGAAATCCAGGGCACTCAACCAACTGAGCCACATTCCCAGCCCTTTTTTGTATTTTATTTAGAGACAGGGTCTCACTGAGTTGCTTAGGGCCTCACTAAGTTCCTGAGGCTAGCTTTGATCTCAGGATCCTCCTGCCTCAGCCTCTGAAGCTGCTGGGATTACAAGCATGTACCACTGCACCCAGCTTGAATGGTTCTTGATACCACCTTTTCTTGTGTTTTAAATTCCTATTTTTGAAGTAGTTCATTAAATCAAGATTTTTTTTTTCTTCATGAAACGGGATAGAACCCAGGACCTCATGCATGTTACACAAATGCTCATACCACTGAGCCACACCTCCGGCCAAGATTTTTTTTCCTGGTTTTGTAGCCCAGAGTACCCACTTCACAAATCATATAGAATACTCTATTCCCTGTAGCAAACCAGTAACGTAGTTGAGGCAAGTCATATTCCTTCATCAGATAAACTGTTCTTCCTCTGTCATCTATCCCAGGGCTGCATGTTCCTCTGTGTTTTCGGCCTTCCTGGAGATAAGAAGCCAGATGAATGTGCACATGCCCTGGAGAGCTCCTTCAGCATCTTCAGCTTCTGCTGGGAGAATCTTGCTGAGACCAAGTGAGGAGGAAAGTGGGGCAGAGAGGAGCTTCTCAGGCCCCAGGGGGCTCTTCAGGCAGGGTAGGAGGCAGTAACAAGTAGCAGGGGTTGAGGGTATTCAGAATCTGCTTGATGGGGAGGGAACTTGCTAAGGAAAGTCAGCAAACAAGATATTCAGAAATTATTAGATACAGAATTCTATACTGGATACCCAGGGGTGGGGAATATAGGTTTCCATTTAGTGAAGCAGGAAAGATAGAGGAACAGAATATACATGACAGAATTCAAGAACATTGTAAAGGAATAAGCAAATAGGGAAATTTATATAGTGCAAATAACATAGCTGTATATGGAAAGGATGCAAACACAGCTACCTATTTATAAGAGGGAAGATGAGAGAAGTTGTAGGATGATTATTACCTAGAGAGGAGGGGACCACAGCTAGTTAACACTTGTGTTTTTGGCTCTCACTCTTGGTCTTTCCCAGATCCCATTGCTTTTTCTGGACTTCACACTGAACTGATCTCCTGCTTTCATATTCACTCCCAGTCCACCCACACCACCTTCTACAAAACCTAATACTAATGAAGGCATAGAAAGTGCCCCTTGTTGCATTATGACAAAGTTAGTTGGAATTTCCCGAGTGACCTTTTTTTTTTCCAATAGAAAGCCTTAAGAAAAGTATGAATGAATGAATTTGAAAAACAGTTGTTTCCAGTGTTAATATTGAGTCAAAGATTAATTTACTTGCTATAACTTATTCAAGATTAATAAAGCTTGGCATAGTGGTTCACACCTGTAATCCCTTTGTCTCTGCAGCTGAGGCAGGAGAATCACAGAGTTCAAAGACAACCTCAGCAACTTAGTGAGGCCCTAAGCAACTCAGTGAGACTCTGTCTCTAAATAAAATACAAAAAAGGGCTGGAGATGTGGCTCAGTGGTTGAGTGCCGCTGAGTTCAATCTCCAGTACAATCCCTCCCCAAAAAAAGAATGAATAAAAATTTTATCACACATGTATATAGCACTTGAGCATTTATAGATTACTTAAGGTACATTCTACCAGTGTGAAAATTTATATCCCTCTTTTAGACATGAAGAAACTAAGACTGTATAAGAGAATTTACTAGCATGTAGCAGAGCTAGAAATTAAACCCTGATCTTTGGTTTTCAAATCCTATGTTGTTTATTATTCCATAGCTGATTCTTACAATATGCAAAGGTTACCCCCAAAGGATTACATATATTATTAATATAATTGTAGATACATAGAATGTTAGTAATGAAAAGGAATTTAGAAATTATCTGACCTAACTCCTGATTTTACAGAAAAGAAAGATGCTATAGTTTCTTAATACATAATCAAATTCTCAGCCCAAGGCAAATACATGTTGTCACTTCTTTCAGTTTGGGTGGGATCTGCAGAGACTCTCATAGCCTACCTACCAGTTTTATGCAAGGCCTCCTCTTCTAGTACTGATCTATTCTGTTCTTGAATATTGCTTTGACCTGTGGCCTTCAATGGTGCTACCCTTGAGTGAGATACTCATTTCTCTGGCCTGTAGAGGCTGTCTTACAATGCCCTAAAGATACATTCTGTGACTCTTAGGCCATAACCTTGTCGTTTTGGTCTTATTTAGTTTATAATATAATAGATGTTAAGAACTAGATGGAATATTAGAGCTCATCTAATCTGATCTTCTTAACCTAAGGAAACTAAGATCCAGAGAGATTATGTTGTTAAGACAAATAGTGTGACAATCTCACAACCTGAAAGCTAGATTTCAAGGTCATTATTTTTTCCTTGAAGACAAATTACCAATTCAGCATTTCCCTAAGAATGTTTGGTAGAACTCTAGTGCCTTATCATACTAATGGGTAGTGAAACAAACTCTATTTCCTTCCTAGAGATTCACAGTATACATTTATACATAAAAGGGTCTGGGTAGTCTTATGATGAAGAAAATTAATATATTTAGTTTTACTCACAATTTTCTACATGTACTTGATCATCAAACTCTTTTCTCTAAAAGGACCTATAAATATCCAGAATGACTAGTGTTCTGGAATATATTTTGGGAAATGCCACACTAATCAAATGCTGAAGCTTCAGCAGTGCTTTTGGAGCCTCAGTAACAAATGTCATTCATTGTTCATGTCTGTCTGCATCACATCAATTCTCACTCAGACCCTAAACTGCATCCCGTGTCTCCTGTTCACCTTGAGTCATCTTGTAAGTTCCTCTTTCGAATCTGAAAAAATACCTTTAGTTTCTAGCTCCTTTAGAGAAAAGATGATTCCCTGAACAAGTCTCCAGGATATTTTGGAGACTTAGGGAGTGATCAGGATGGTTTTTAGTACCACAAATACTATGTATAATTGCATATGTCAAATAAAGAATATATTCTTCATCAATAGAGAATGTTTTTAAAATAAAAAATGAATATGGACTGCCAGGAAGAACAGGGGGTAGTTATAAAATACAATAAAAAGAAGAAACAACCAAGTGAGAAAAGTACAGTGTGTCTTATCTTGTTAGTGATCCAGTGCTTGAGTTTCTCATGTGCATAAATGCATTCATTAAGTATTCTTATGCCTTGGACATAAGAACAATAAGAGACCACCTCCTCCTCATCCAGGTAAACACCTTTCTTGTAGTACAATGAAATTTAAGTGCAGGAATAAAATTCTCTGGGAGCTAAAGCAAGAAGCTTTAGGAAGAGATAGTTCATCATCCCCAGAGATATCAAAGAAGTCTTGACTCTAGATGACTTCTGTGCCGGGTAGAAAAAGAAAGGAGTTTGGCAGGTGGAGAAAGTGAGAAATGTCATTTTAGCCTGAGGAAGCATCTTAAACCAGTAGAAGATTTTGAGTCTTGCTGTTGGGGTGATGATAGAATCGACTACCTGGTTCTTGTCTTGTGCACTTCTTTTATTCACCATGGACAGTGGGTACAGCATATGAATGGTGAGAGCCCTCAATCCTGTCCTCAGGAAGCCAGGAGAATTTGGTTGGTATAGGAGACAGTCATGTTAACATGATCACTACTTTTCACGTTCTCTCTGAACCACTGAAAATTGTTTGTTTGTACATTAGCTTGCGCCTAATTATGCCTCATTGCTCCTTCTTTCTCCATCCACATATCTGTGACCTGTCATGTCAATCAAGTAAATCTGCCCATTCTCTATTATACTCTCTTTTTAAGTAATCCATATTGCGCATGTTTTCCCATCTCTCATCTATGTAAGATCACTTCTCCCTTCACCTCTCCCTACTCCAAACACCATCGGTGCTCTAGCCATCTTGAAGTACTTAGTTTTTCATAACTACACCAGGCTTCCAAAGCCTGTGCCTTTTTCTACTGGAAAAAATGCTGTTTCTCTGTTTTGACAGTGTCTTCAACTTTCAAAATCTGACTAATGTCCTCTCCCTTATGAATACTCTTTCTGTACGAGTTAGTACAGAAAGTTAATACACCTTCTATTTGCTTTATGAATGTGCTTTACTGATCTCTAATAAGAATATTTGTCTTGACATCATATAACTGTTTCTTCACCTCCCTTATTCCCAACCTTCTTCTTCCCCAGCCTGAACTTCTCCAGGACAAACATTTTAACCATCCAGCTAAGTGTGTGGCACTGTGCATACTTCTCAGTGCTTATTGAATGAATAATTTTTTGCATGTGTGAATGATGAAAAAGTTACTCATTGAAAAAGTATATTCCGAAGATCAGTTTGCTTCAGAATTCTTCCACCAGCAGTCCTGACATTCTGATTATTCTGTTACTCTGACATTGCATTATTTGATTCAACTCTGTATTGCCATCTGTTGCTCTACTTTTCATTTTTTGGGTTTTATCTAAGGGCAGCATGGAATAGCAAAAATAACACTGATCTAGGGATCTGGAAATCTAGATTCTCATTCTGACTTTTGCTGTATAACTCTGGGAAAGTTAAATTAACCCCTTTAGTTTTTTCCTCTTTTCTCAAAGCCTATTAAAATATTTGCTTTGACTGTCATACAAGTTTGTTGTTAATTATATCTCAAAGGACCAGATGAGGCAATCAATTTGAAAGTACCTCAAAAAGCATATATAAATCATCTGACAGATAAAAGTGGTTTTTTTAAAATCTTTTTACCAATAACAACACCCCAAATAAAACTCCTAAAAGAGGGAGACAATTCTGTAGGTTTTGTGGTTTTCTTATTAAGTTCTTCATATTCATCATGTGACGCAGATTGGCATAAGCCACTGACCTTTTTTCATTCTGAGCTCTAAAACTAGACTTCTAGATCTAGAGAGTGGCAGATCTTGTGCCTGAATTTGGAGGCTTCTGACCATATATTTACTCAGTTGTTACTTTTCTGATCCCCAGGCTTGTTTCCATCAGTATCACCAATGGACCAGTATTCTGTGGCCTGGTTGGGGCAGTAGCAAGACATGAATATACAGGTAGAATAGATTGGATTATTAGCTCTATGACTTAAGGGATGAAGATGGAAGAGGTGGTCCAAAAATTTTCCACCCTTTACTTTATTTCTAACACAGTTATTGGCCCAAAAGTGAGCCTTGTGGCCAGAATGATAGCTGCTTATCCAGGCTTGGTATCCTGTGATGAGGTAACGTATTTAAGGTCCATGCTTCCTGCTTACAACTTTAAGAAACTGCCAGAGAAAATAATGAAAAACATCTCCAACCCCGGGAGGATGTATGAATATCTTGGCCATAGAAGATGTATGTGAGTATTATTGGTGAGAGTTTATTCTCATCTCTTACAGAATAGAGGCATGAGAATGGTAAATTTTCAGTTGTATGAAATTTAGTAATACTAGTACTTCCATGTTGGAATAAGACACATAAAAGGAGGCTTTCTCATCTTGAGATTTTTAGCTTGTCTGTTTAGCTCTTAGCTACTTCTTTGGGGAATTTCTTTCTCTCCAACAGGAAGAAAATAGCAGTAAATCACTAATCTAGGTGTTCTTTGGGTGTGTGTGTGTGTGTGTGTGTGCGCGCATGTACTTCACAATTTACTTACCTCTCTGAGCCTGCAGATATCAATACTACTTTCCTTTTCTCACTCCATAACAATTTTTAGTTCTTAAAAACACTTTTGCACAGATCTCTGTACCTCTTCAGTTATTTGAAGTACTTGCTTAGGAAGACAAGAGTTCTTGATGCTATTTTTAATAAAACATTTCTCTTTGTTCTTTTTTGCAGAATGTTTGGGAAAAGACATTTGGCCAGAACAAGAAATGAAAATCGCCCTTTGTTAGGTGAGTTTTCTAATTAGATCATATTTGTTTCAGCTGTAGATGGCTAGAAATGATTTTAAAAATAAAATGGAATGCAAACTAAATGATTTTAAGTTTATATTAAAAAATAGAGAGCAGCCTTCTTAGTGAATTTATTTTGTTTTGAAGAGGATCTGTCATTTCTTTTTCATGTTGAATGTTCAGATTTCAGGTCAAGTTCTACCACTTTGCTTGAGAAGTACCAACATTTAGTTAGAATCTTTGTAAGTTAGGGTTTTGCTACTGGGGTCTCTTCTGCCACCTGCATTATATAGTCCCTATTTTTATTTTAATCTACATTTATTAATCCATTATCTTTACCTAACAGTTTCAGACCTTGAAGACTAAATTGTTGTTATGGAAATTTTTATAACAAACTAAGAAAATAATAGTAGCCCCACATCCATATGGTGCCTGGTTGTTCTGAATGTTATTGCTTAGGCTCCACAACAAACCCTGAATCTATCCAGTTCCTCAGCACATACTTCTGTTTGTCTCAAGTTGATTTTCTAGACCTAGATATGAAATTCCATCAAAGAATGGGATTCTGGATTCTGCCAGGGATTCTGGGACAGGGAGGTGATAGAGCTTTTAAGAGAGCTAGCTTTGAAAATCAATTCAAATAGTCTCTATTATAAAGCACAGAGTGCTTCTTGTCTCTTTGCAGACAGGGAAAAGGAACTGGAGGCCTTCAGATCGGCACAGCAGTCATGTTTGCAACAGAAGAAGGGTCAGGCAGTTCTGTATGAAGGTGGAAAAGGCTATGGAAAAAGCCAGCTTTTAGCTGAAATAAACTTCTTGGCCCAGAAAAAAGGGGAAAGGTAAAGACACCTGCTTTCTGACTCAAAACCTACTTTTAGGGGGGCTTCTTTACCTTATTGGTACAACTACATGTCATTAGATTCAGCAACCTTGGACTGGTGGAATGAGTAATCTCTGTGTGGGTCTGGGGTCTCCCAGTGACCATGCTAATATTCACCAGGGTGTTGCCATTGAAACTGAAGGAAGCAGATTCCCAGCAGTGCTTCTATGTTATCCAGACCCTCATGGCCATCTTCTTTGAGATTGATACATGCCCAGCCTATTATCGGCAAGAGTGCCTGCACAGACAGCTCCATGGAATGGTGGATGAACCACTTCATTGCCTTTTTAATGACCTCTTCTTTGTGAAGGTAACAAAGACTTTGACTTTCTGAATTGGGTTACTGTTATTCTTTGTGGATAGTCAGATCCACTGTTGTCTTCTAACATAATTAATACCCTTAGGACATATATATGTAGCTTAAGAACACATAGTCTTGGGAGGATTAAGATTTGGATTCACCAAAACCCAGGGGTTTTTTTTTTTGTTTTTTTTTTTGTTTGTTTTTTTTCTTTAGAGTGGATTCTAAGATTAACTCTGACACTTGCTAGTTATATGGTCTGGAGCAAATCACTTAGCCTCTCTGAGCCACAATTTTTTCATCTGTAAATGATTTACATACTTTATATGATTTTACATAAATTTTAAAGAAGATAGTGTATAAGAGATTGTATTATAAATTTTAAACAGCTACATGTGTTAAGGTGATCCTGATCCTAGGAATTGTATTCATGTCTTCTTAAGTCAGTTGTGATTTTTTTATTCCTTAAAGCTGCCTTCCTATTCCCTAGCCATGGAGTATATCCCTTGAGCCAGCATTTAAATCTCAAAATCTTCCAGTGGTCTAGGGTTTATGTGGTACCCAACAGCCAGCAAACTAAAGATACCCTGTTCATTCTCCATCACTTCTAACTTCTAATCTATCTCCAAAGAAAGTATTTGATATAAAGTAGAGAATACTAAAATCTATCCAGTTTCTCAGTATAGCCCTCTATTAAGTTTTGTCTGGGCTCTAACCGTTGTTCATATGGTCAAGCAGGAATCTCACTTTGGCTAACAGATCCATGGTAGCTTATGTGCCTTAACCTAGCACAGTAAAAAAATGTTAGGTGATATCCATTGCATCTCTTTCTGACAAGTTGCATGTAGAGATTCATCCTGGTATATTTGGTGTAACTTATATACTGGAGCTGCCCAAAGTAGCATTACTAAGTACAACCTGTCATTTATTCCTTAGTTACAGCCTTTAATAATTTTCTAGACTCTGGTATAGCAAAAAAGATGTAAGTATCTGTCTTTAACCCTCAATGAACTTTCAGTATTACACTTTGAGCTATACATTAATATTGGATTGGACCTTGTCTCTCTATGCTCAATCTCACAGAAACCTACTCTTCATTAAAATAGAATTGTTTTCTGTTCCTTTGGAGAATATGCATATTTTTATTAGGTTGCCATTTTAAATGCTAATACATAATATTTCTTTTTGATCAGTTTCCATTGTCCTTCAAAGTTTCACACATGGATGACCTGGCCAGACAAAAAAAGGTTAAAGAGTGTTTTATTGAAGTGCTTCAGGAGGTGGGTACTTTTGCTACATACCATTTATTCTTAATATTTGGAGATGGTTTATGTTTAACCAGTTTGCATCATACATTGTTTTAGGCTTTTCTTGGCCTTCCATTTGTTGATATCTTCAGTGTTTGTGTCTATCTGCAAACATGTATTCATTCCACAGCATGGCATGGCACACAAAAGAGTTTTGGCTCTTTCTTGGTCCTGTTTCTTAATGAAATTTTAGTAATTTGATGTAAAACAATGATTTACAGTGCAGGTGAATAGCTATTTTACCTATTATTTATTAAAAGCACAGATACACAGACTCTACCTCAGAATTACAGAATCAAAAATCTATATGAAGAGAAAATGATGTGACCATTCTGGAAAGCAATCTAAAAGTAACAATTCAAATTTTAATAGCATGTATCCTCTAAATCTAGGAACTCCCAAGGAACATGTCCATTGTGTTTATTTGTGGAGGCCAGAGAGGTACTGGCATGAACACATGGATGAACACAGTGAAGTAAATGTTAAAGTTAGAACTAAGGGAATAAGATGAAAACTTAACAATGTGGAGTGATATAAAAACAATTCTGAGGGCTGAGGTTGTGGCTCAATGGTAGAGTGCTTGCCTAGCATTTGTGAGACACAGGGTTTGATTCTCAGCACTGTGTATAAATAAATAAATTAAATAAAGGTCCATCAACAACTAATAATAATATTAAAAAAAAAATAGTCTGAAGCCAGAGGATGTAGCTCAGTGGTAGAAGGCTTGCATAGCACGTGCAAGACCCGAGGTTCAATCTCAAGCACCTCAAAAATAAAAACAGTCCTGAATAAAAAAAGAGGAAAAATAATGAGATCTGTAATACAGTAGTATTTATATAAAAATAATGTATTTGGCAAAACAACAATGCATATTTTGAAAGAACAAAATGCAAACAAAAATCTATAGGATAAACACATTAGAGTAATCACCTGACACCATGGGAAGCAGAGGAAGCAGAGCGGGAGTGGGGATAAAAATGGATACAATTTTTTCAGAGTGTTCAGTGAGTGGAGCCTGGTAATGAGAGTGTTGACAAGCACTGCCAGGAGATTCTAATGTGCAGCCGGGTTTGAAAGTTGCCATTTTAAAATGTTATAAATTCTCATACAGAATAAAGTCTTTGTCAAAATGAAATATTTGAAAGCTTCAAGTTTGAGTTAGAGAATATTTCGATACTTATTTTTAGCTAGAGCATTTTCTTGTTCACTTATTTTATCCATACATTTTTTATTTAGGAATTAGATATGTAGGTTATATTTTATATTTAGAAAGTAAAATGTTACCTGGACTTAAAATACATTTTACTCTGAAAATTCCATCCTGTTTGACATTTTGTTTAAATTGTTGATGGAAAATTTGCAGTAGATCTTTATTTCTAATCAGAGGTTGTTATTGTTTCTTTGCTGTTATTTCCAGGCAGTGAGGGAAACACCACTGATTTTCCTCATTGACGAGGCCCAGTATATGGATGCAGCTTCCTGGGAGTTTTTGGGAACATTGCTCTCCAGTGTGCCCATCATCATGGTGATGACGTTGACCCCTCCTGTCACCCTGTGTGGCTGGGCCCAGCACTTCCTACAGAGTCCTCAGGCTATCCTTGTGCCCATTTCAAAGTTGGCAGCAACCTTGCTGTTGAGAATGGCATGTTGGGAACTAGGGGTGGTGAGCATCCCCCAAGAGCTGCAGATGTGAGTGGCTAGGATCAGCTGGGCACTTCATTAAGGGAGGAGCCAGTGCCATAATATAAAAGAGAAGGCTCAGGGCTCAACAGAGTTGGGGGAGAGAGTGGCATTAGTAAGCATGATGAAGCCCAAGATGAGATTTCAGTCTCCTTGTAAACTATGAAGGGGCTACTTCCCCGGCTGCCCATTCAAGTTTTAACAAGACAGTTAGGACTTGGATGGCTTGCTTATAGTGTCAGTTTCTCCAAAGCCTTTTAGCAAGGAGATGTTAGCTCCTTTTAACATCAGTAGAAGCAAAATAGTTAAGAAAAAAAAAGTTACTGCCAAAATATATTTCAAAGCCAATCAGAAATTGTTTTTCTTGCTGGGAATGGTGGTGCACACCTGTAACCCCAGCGACTCGGGAGGCTGAGGCAGGAGGATTACAAGTTCAAAGTCAGCCTCAGCAACTTAGCAAGGCTCTGAGCAACTTAGTGAGACCCTGTCTCTGAATAAAATATTTTTAAAAGGCTGGGGATGTGGCTCAGTGATTAAGCGCCCCTGAGTTAAAACCACAGTGCCCCCCCCCAAAAAAAAACAACCCAAGAAATTGTTTTTTCCCTACGTTTCTCCCTGCGGCTGCTTCCCTCTGTTAGTGTATATACATCAAGATCTGACTTTAACAAAAGAAGATTCCTCAGTATGAAGTACCCTTAATATTTGGCTCCCCTCAAGTGGTTATCTTTAGTCAACAATCACCTACTTACTTTCTGCAGCTACCTTCTGCACAGGTGCTTTGGAAACCCCCTGTATTGTGAGATCCTATGCCAGGACCTTCTCTCTAAGGACATATTGCTTTTTCATGACCTAAAAAAGGAGGAGGAAGAGAACAGCAAGTGGGAAACCCTGTCAGGTAAGTTTAGCCTTGCAACCACTGACATTTGATCTCCATCATGGCATTACCTAGTCTTTATGAAGCTTGTGGTCATTCCCTGTTGACATTGTGGGCCAGATTAAGCCCAGCTAAGTACAGTGTACAAATACTATGCAACTAGGGTGAAAACACTAAATCGCTGCCTCAGATAACTTAATTCAGTCAACCAATCTGCAATAGTTTTATTTTGAGTAGCCTAGGAGATCAGGTAGGAAATAGGGTTTTTAACGATGAGAGTCCAGAACAGAGAATTGTATATTAATGATGAGGAGGACTTGAGGATTTGGATGGGGGATGGGAGAAGGAAGGAGGATGGGCTAGGAGGAAAGGGTAGAATTACATGTATATCCAGAAAGGCATCCTAGAGCTGTGATATCATAGAAACAGGGCTAGTATAAAGTAAGCAGGAATAATGAACAGTGATGAAATATAATATGGTACAAAGGATGCTATTAGTTTATAAGAGAAAATTAAAGAACAAGCAGGATGGGTTGGTGTGAAGCATGTTAAACCATAGTGTTGGGCTGGGGATATGGCTCAAGCGGTAGCGCACTTGCCTGACATGCGTGCGGCCCAGGTTCAATCCCCAGCATCACCTACAAACAAAGATGTTGTGTCTGCCGAAAACTAAAAAATAAATATTAAAAAAAAATTCTCTCTCTCTCTCTCTCTCTCTCTCTCAAAAAAAAAAAAAAAAAAAAAAACAAAAAAAAAAAAACGTGTTTTCCATTCATCTTCATCCTGAAGTCTCTTGACTTAATCTTGCATTTCTGTGCCTTTAAAGCTATAGTCACTGAGCTTGGTGTTTTCCTCAGTCATGGTCCTTTTTTTTGCTCCTACAGCCAATGCCATAAAATCCACAATGTATAGTATTTCTCCTGCCAGCTCCAAAGAAGATCAGGAACTTTATGTCTGCACAGTCAAAGATGATGTAAACTTGGATACAGTGCTTCTCCCACCACTGTTAAAAGGCAAGTTCTTTGAATACCACCAGTGAACCAATTACAGGTGTCACTGCAATTAGTAATTGGGTGAGTGAATGAGTACAAGTCTCTCATTATCATTCTGGTTTCATTTTATTCTAAACAGGAAACTTGTCTTCCAGACATAAGTTCTAGCATGGCCTGCAGAGCCTTTTGAAGACATGAATAATGTTTACTTAAATGGCCTTTTGCTTTCTTTTGATGATCTGGAAACTTTTTCAGTTTATTAATAAAAATTAGGTCCTGAGTTTCCCTTTGTGAAAATTCCTCTGCCAAGGGAGGCAATAAGCAAGGGAGATGATGTTGCTGAGATTTAAGAAAATCTATGATGCTGATAATGTTGTGTATATAGCAAGAGTTTAATAAAAAAGAATGCAAAGTATGTTTATTTTGACCGATAAGGAACAAAGAATTTGGCAGGCATAGTTGGAGAGGAGATGTTCTTTGAGATTAATTATGGCTTTTTTGTTTTTAACTTTTTTATTAATTTTTATTTATATATGACAGCAGAGTGCATTACAATTCTTATTACATATAGAGAACAATTTTTCATAAGTCTGATTGTGTACAAAGTATATTCATACCAATTCATGTCTTCATATACTTACTTTAGATATTCATGTCCATCACATTCTACCATCATTTCTAACCCCATGTCCCCTCTCTTCCTCTCCCACCCCTCTGCCCTATCTAGAGTTCATCTATTCCTCCCATGCTCCCCCTCCCCACCCCACTATGAATCAGCTTCCTTATATCATAGAACACATTCGGCATTTGTTTTTTTGGGATTGGCTAACTTCACTTAGTCTTATCTTTTCTAACTCTATCCATTTACCTGAAAATGCCATGATTTTAATCTCTTTATTATGTTTTGTTTTTCAAATGTTCTATTCAAGTGTTTGGTGGGGGAGATACTATATTAAGCCCTCTTAAGGAATATTATGATAAATATAGTTCAAGTAAAATATCATCTTGTTGAGAAAATAAGACATGTACATGAAACCACCATAAAGACATGCTAGTCAATTGCTGGGACTCTGGAATTAGAAAAATGAGGACACTTTTGGCCCCTCCACTTACTCGCTGGAGGCCTTTGATAAGTTAGCTGCAGTCTTCTCGTCAGACAAGTGAGGATAACAATAGACCCTACGTCATGGGTTCTGTTGAGGATTTAGCAAAATAAATAATGTCACATAATATTCTGTTAATGTATGACACCATAGTTCTTCGTCCTGGAGATTTTGGGTTCAACTAGACAGTTTTTGCTCTAACCATGACAGGCCAAACTTGGCATTGGCTCTAGTTAGAAGTAAATGCAGCATGCTGGCAGGACAGTGGCAGGTGGTTTTCTTCAGTGGGAGTCCTTACAACAATTTACCTGGCAACCCAGGGACTATTCTCTGGAGCCTCAAGGAATAATAGTCCCAGTATCAGGAATGAGACCCATGAAGCATGGATTCTTAGAAACAGCAAGTCCCAGATAAGGACTTGGCCCTGCAAGGATCATGATCTATTACAAGAATTATTACACTCAAGGAAGCCCCAAACTGTATCTCACAATCAGCTCATTCACATTTCCCTGGTCCAAATTCAGAGGTCATTCTTAGCAAAAGCCATGTTGCCTGGTAATACTGCTCATGTTCTAATTTTATTGGGATCCCAAGAAACAGCTAGAAAATTAACCCAAAGTCAACATTGTCAGGGAAGGAAAAGAGGTTGTAAACTTGCAAGCTAAAATGAATAGGTCAGCAAAGCCTTGGTCTAAAAGAAAGGCCAAAGCTAGATTGTGAAAGATCTCACTGAGTTTTAAAGGTATTTGAGAGGGAGACTGACTTGATCATATTGTGTTTTTAAGATATCTGATTTTGCCACTAGTTAATAATATATTGTTGGGATGAGA